GTGGAATATATATTTTGATTTTGCAGTGTCATCCGGCCGTAACGAAGCGTAAGGATTCCAAGTTTCATAATTGGCATGCATCGTGGTTGTCTAAGAACGGCACAGATATTCAACATCGATTGTGCCAAGACTGGTTAATGGGACGATATGAGAACTTGATTCCCCACAGGACACGAGTGATAACGGACAACGATCAGACACGTTCCCCCTATCGGCAATACAATCGTTTCCGAGTAGAACGTTTGCAATCTGATCTATTGACAGAGACGTGCGTCTAATCCGATTCGTTGGAATTTCTTGCCGTCATTTAAAATGTCCCAATATCGCTACGCTCGCTACAATTACTCTTGTATCAGCGAAAGTTTTTCCTTGCCAGTTCAGACTCGGTTGAGACTCGAAGCAGAACTTGTTGAAATATGAGTTTAGTTTAGAACACAAAGTAATGAATATTGTTTTTATTACTTGGTCTTTGATATTCGAGAACGATTTCAACCGAGTCAAATTCGATTCCAAGAACATGGAAGAAAATAAAATGGTTAATGGCCGTCCACATGTGTTATATACCATATCGTATTATATATTTTCGCACAGAATTTTATTCTTGGCTGTATAGAGGTACGCGGGCTGTACTAGTACACACAACGATGTATAATAGCGTATAATAATTACGAGTGATTTCATATTCCACTAAATTTACCGTACTGTCAATTCATTTTTGTCAACATGTCTCACTGTTCTTATCGCGTTCTACATTCTCATTAAATTGTAACATTCAATCGATATGTCGCGTTTATTTTACAATATCAATAATGTATTACGCGACCGAAATTTAATACATTTTGCATCTGTATATTTGAATATGGCTCGCATCTTGCGGTGTTACTTTCGATATCTTAGCGAGTATTTATATGTACATATACTTTAGATACAGATACTCGTTTCATTCGAGACCTAATCAAGAATGTCAACTGTGTGACAAATTATTTACAAGAGAATAAAAAATAATTTTAGTTGACATTTCCGACCTTGTGTCTTTGATGAGATACGTATACACGTTTGCATCTATATCTATATAAATATTTGTAATTAGATATACACACACACACGCACACACATATGTGCATACATATATACATGTATAAAGAAGGAAAACTTAAGAATTTGCACTCTATCTGCCTTCCAGGCTCTATAACGTGGAACGATTAAAGATGTAAAAACGGTAATGTTCCTGGACGGTAGAGCCGAGCGTGTTGGAATTTAATGCGGCATGGAAAATTAACAAAAGTTATATTGATCCACATCCGCGCGCACACACGCACGAACGCATGCATACACAAACACACACATACACCATGTACAATCGTATGACATGTCTGATTGTTATGTCTATTTTGTAGCGTATAATATCAATGTAAAAAAGCGCGATTTCTCAATAGCATATATTGTATATTTTACAGTGTATTCTTAAATCTTGTGTAAGATCTGCAAATAGCTGTGAGATGTAACAATCGTCAATGAAATGGTGCGTTACTGTAAAAAGGTAAACATTAATGAGCTTGTGTGCTCGTAATCGCCACATAGTTTTTTTCTTCCTAAACTAAAACAAGATTCGAGAAAAGTTCATATTTAGAAACGGAATGATCACGCCCGTTGTACGATAAATCTTGCGATAAACGATTAATAATGATAATTAATAACGAATGCAATATCTGTCTCGTTTGTTTGTCATGTTTTTGTCAACTCTCAGAACACTGCACGGTAACTACTATATGTTATGCTGTCGACAGAAAGCTTGGAGGATAAGATAGCCAAAAACGAATATAAGATAAATATTTAATTATAACATAATATAATGTATAGTCGTAATATGTATTATACATACCGTAATTTTGGTAATCTGATACTGTGGTTGTATATTTATTGAAGCATTTCCTCATAAGCAAGTCAATAGAGAGAAAAAAAAAAGAGAGAGATGGGTGGGCAAATAAGGGGAAAGGAGGAAATAAAGACAGAAAATGTTTGAAAAGGGAGAAACAGGAAAGTGGATAAAATAAATGGTGAAATGTTGAGTTGAAATTAACAAATTGACAATTTATTCGAAGATGATTTATATTATTTATAATATGATGGTCTTGATCAATTTCAATAATTTTATTTACTTTAAATTAAAATGTACACATTAGAATCCCATGGATGCCATAGCGCACCCACTTATTCCGTATTCCGAGTAAATTGTCAACTAAAACTATTTTAAACCAAACGTATCGCCGTTTATTTTTTCTTTCTACATTATTTCTCTATCCGGTCAATTTTTCAACACCAAATGAAAGAGAGAAAGAGAGGGGAGAGAGCGAGAATGAGACGAAAAGTACAATGGTCTTCCCGATGTCTGGTCACTCTGACTATATATTACTGTATTTTATGAAAAAAATGCTAATTTTTTTAAGTATGTGTATGAAAAATAAATGTACAGGCAATTTTACTACTCGAAATAATAATTTAATGTTGATATATTTTGCACACAAATTATTACTATACAAATTATTAATAAACTATATAAATAAATATTGAAAAGCTATTGTCTTCTTCAATCGACAACTTTTTTCCGTAGCTCCAAGTTGTATGCATGTGCGTGTGCGTGTGTGTAACTTTGGCTCGCTCTTCCTTTATTCTATGTATTATACAATATCTATATAACTTGGCTCGTTCTTCCTATTCTATGCTTATAATAACACTTTTCAAAGTACATCGGTTCGAGTAGGTATATGGGGAACCGATTTACCTTTGCAAGAACACGCATTATAATATCGAAGACAGTAAGAACATATAACACAAAATGAAAAGTCATAAGAAACTCGCAAGTGTGTTTTATTGTATTATTAAAAGTGATAAAATTAGACGATATAATTATACAACAATATATTGTTGGTTTATATCAATATTTAATAGATAACTTACGTTTCATTTTTTGTATGTTACATAATAAGTGAAAAATACTGCGTACAAATACAACAAACTGAAATACTTAGACTATTTCTTATGTTAGACGTATGCGTCTTCTTGGGACGTTTCACGTTGGTACTTGTGTTAAAGTTCCAGTCGGATTAAAAATGTGGTATATTTCAGCTGCGTGTCGAGATCGAGACCTAAACGTACCGTCATACCGATACTAGGAGAAATTTGCTTCGCGACATTCTTTGATTTCGCATTGAACTTGAAAAATGCGTATGTCGATATAATACAGAGAATTTAAGAGAATTACTTCCGAATCCGGATCAACTATAGAAATTAAGGTCAACATCATTTTACGCGTAAAATTCTCGCTGCGCGCATATCCAGTTGGGATTTAATTCGCTTTCATTTTCGTTCCTATACTGTGCTCGATTGAAGGATTACGATGCGATGCTTACATTCGGCACGATCTGCTTTGTTCGCGGTTTTGTAGCTCGACGACCTTTTGCTTTGCGATCAAAGCAAAAGGTCACGGATAAAGTAACTTGTAATCATAATTGCATTTATATCGACACTCGTACGATTTTCAAGCAGCGGATAAAAGCGACCGTATATAATAATTTCTCTTTATTCCGCGCCGCGCGCGTTATAAATAACCCATTATTATTATTATTATTATGATTATTATTATTATTATTATCGTTATCGTTATCATCATCATCATCATCATCAACATCATCATCACCATCATCATCATCATTATTACATGAAAATGAAAGACAGGAATTATTTTTTGGATACTTCGTTAAGTACAAAGAAAGGTAAGAAAGTATAAGGAAAAGTGCTCTCGCCGGTATTGTCAAAGGTCCGTATTTATCCGTATTATTTAATGTCCATTATTGCCCAATGCATTAAAAAGAAATGTATTAAATTGATCTTACACATTTGATTTTATGGTTTATTTTAAATCGAGTAAACGAGGATTACTGATTACATCGAAAATCATACATGTTGACTGACGATCGAGACGAGTAGCCACATATAAATAATGTTTCGCGCTAGATGTAATAATATTTTAAGCCACTTTACAAGGCGTGTTACGTGTTACGAGCCAACCAAAGGCAGACAAGAAATTTCAAAGGTGCAAAGTAGTTGACGCGGTGTGCTCACATTGATGCTTACACGCGTAAGCAAATCGGTCCTTGAGGACAAATTGGATTCGATGGATGAGCATCAAGATTAAGAAGTACATCGCAAAGTAGTGCAAATAAAGATAGAAAAGGTAAAATTGAGGATGAAAAGTATATATGACTTGATGGAGATACGCGATTAATTTTTTTTTTTTTTTTAAATTTTTTCGCGATTTGATCCAACCCCGACAAAGACGAAATGTCTATGCTCGTCACGCGATCCTCGTTGTAGCGAAGCCGGCGAAGCGGGATGTGGATGGAGATGGTCAAGGAGGAAAATCACCTTCGAGACGTACGGTATATAATAAGGATGTGTCAGCGAAGGGTCGAAGAGCTAGCTCTGGTCCATGACGCCAAGGATCGCGAAGACGGACGACGATGAGGCGGTAATCGAGTTGACGTGACACAAGTAAGTAGGTTCCGATGACGAGAGACGATACCGCCGACTTCGTCTCAGATGCTGTCGTCGGAAGACATCGGGATGTCATCCGCCGTCGTATTTTGACGGCAGCGGTACACGTATGCGCTCGCGGACAGATCGTCCCGCTCGCGCACGCACTTGTAGCTCTCATCCAGGCATTCGCAACTGCGCAAATCAAACGAAGAGATAAATACGTACAATAGGTAATTAGGAACGAACATGTGCAATATGTATCGAAAATCTCAACCTGATCGCGTTTTTCGCGACCTTCCTACATGATATTTTTCATACACCCCGATCGCCAGAGGACTGTCCTGCTCTAGCTGCTCTAACATCTAGCTGCATGTTATATGTATATATATCTCTCAACATCTTCTTACGTTGAAAAAATTTTCATTTGAAAATCTCTCGCTCTCTCTTTAGTTTTACGTAGGACGTATAAAATAAATTCGCAATTAACGATGATTCTTTTCCAATTTAGCCATCTTATTGTCAGCTATGCTCTATCGCAGAATGATAGAGCCTTCGACACTAATTAATGGTAATATAGTAGTAGTTGTAGTTGACTCACGTGTTTTTCATGTAATATATGATGTCACGCGTGTATGAATCGTAGACCGCCCATCCACAAGGCGTGTTGTGATTACTGCAATATCGTTTCGCCGCGTCTTCCTCGTCGCTCTCTTGCGAAGATGGTGGCATCTTTACGTTCCTAGAGTCTCGTAGCAAGACCCCCTGTAGTAGCTTCTGCAATTAAATAAACCCAAACTTTTGTCTCTCATTCACATTATATACATAATTTCAAACTTTTAAAAGTTTTCTTTATCACGCGCGCTGCCGGGAATAGCGATAGCAACAACGGTAGGAGGGATACTGGGAAGAAAGAAAAAAAAGGGAGAGGGAGAGAGCGTTGATTTAACTTAATTAAAGGCTGACGCACTAGATCGAAATATACCGCGCTTATCTCTTATGTGAATAAATCATACAAACAAATAAATCATTCAAAAGTTGCTATAGCATCTCAACTAACTATAATCTCCGTCTCTCTCGTAGTTATCTCCGATATCACGTCCGTCTTGTATACTTACATATTTATTATTTATACGAAACACGTACGATATCGTATCGTGTGTTTCCTATCGCGACTGTATAGCTTAACAATTTATTCAACACTTTACCTAATTGACGATTCGATTATCGTGGGCCCCCTTTGCTTGAGGTCCCTCGCAATCGAATACACCATCGTTACTTTTACTCGAAGCACAATTGTGCAATCGTATAAATTATAGGTCGTATAGATCTGTTCTCAGAATTATTGAGAACTTTCTTTTTCTTTCACTCCTACGAAACTGACTAGAAATCTGGGAGAAAAAGTTATGCACTGATACAACGTCGCTACTTTAATGCTCTTCCAACAATTTTTAACAATAGGGTTCGAATTTATCTCAAAGGTATTTTTCTCGTATCTTCTCTTTCAGAGTAAACGTCTCAAAGTCTTGTTACTTCGTAAGTCCTTACTTACGCACGCGCGCAATCACCGCCGCATATGAAAAAAAGCTTACAAAGTGAAAAATAATCTTTCATTTTTTTTTTACTCATTGTCAGTAGCATTCTTAGCTCAAGCGTTATCAGTCGCTATTAGCATATGCTATAGGCGTATGCTATAGTGTGTGCGCGCATACATTTGTAATTGTAGTCTACATAAATTTATACATTAACAAGGTAATTAATTAATTTCAAGAGCACGTGCAATTATGGTAAAATATAAAAAACCTCGACCTCGACTTCTCGACGACTTTGATAAATTTTGGATTAAAATCGTCTAATCAGAAGAAGGGAGGGAAAGATGTATAGTAGTGCACGCGCGCGCGTTGCCATTTCATCTTTTCAGTAACGTTGACCGCTCAAGACGGTATCGGTAAGTGAGCGAATGCGCAAACGCCATTCCTTGAATGAAGGATGGAGAGTCTCGCCAATACTGCGATCTACAAATCCGCGGACTCGATAGCCTCTCGTGTCAAGCGCGATACTGCTTCGCGTGATACTGCCCCGCGCTTCGTCGCGCATCGCCTTCTCCGAAAATCTTCCGTCATTACTTCGTTACTTCGATCCGGCCTAAGAAATACAACGTCGGGCAGATTTTTATACAGAGATGTATTGTTATGTCCGTTATGAGATGTGTACAAATTATTGATCGCGTTACGTGTCTCGAAACGAAAATTTATAAAATGTTCGATCGTACATACATCGATACACTTTGCATTTCCTCGAAAGGAGAAAGAGCGTCGTGCCGCATCGTGTCGCGTTGCGTCAATCACGCAACTGCGAATGACATAGCGATTGTAATTTGACGAGCGACCAACGCCGATCAACACCGAGTTCTTTTACGTGAAAGCGAGTTTTTTTTACTACGCGCTCTATATAGTCTCCTACAACTAAATTTCTAGACTTTGCATCTTTCCAGAGATTCTATCTGACGACGGCACTCACTCGCAGTTGCTGTGGGATTTACGATTTACAATTCAGACTCTAGACAGTCTAGACTCTAGAGCGATCTCTAGAAGAGCCTATGCGATTCGATTCAATTAAGGACTCGCCCTTTATTGAATAGCGAGCGACGAGCAGTTCTCGCATGGCGAAAAAAAAACGACCACTCTCGAGTCTTGAATCTTGAGGCCGCGACTCGATAGACGCGATTTATGAATGAAACTACTCGAGCCGCCAGCACATAAGCGTGCCCCGACCCGAGGGTAAGACCCGCCTCGATAAACGACAGGACATTCTCATACATATATATATATACATAACATATTTATTAACATGTCGCGTCGCGTCGCACGCCTACTAATTGTAAGGATTGGCACTCTACTCTCTTTATCATGCATATATAACTATATGACACACGTTACTATAGAAGAAATCGATTCCACGCGATTGAAGATTGATTTTTTAAGTGAAGCGCGGGGTAGCTCGGGAGTCGAGAGATTAAGACCACCGCGTCGCCATCCAATCGATCTCGTAACGCATTGAAATTCTCGTCACTTAATTTCGATTAAAGACAGCTAAATTACTCTACTCGATACAGTTCCGTCTGTCCCGTAAAAAACGCGCGAACCGTGACCATGAGACGACTTCCGTTTCGACTTTCGACGGCTGCACGCGGACCATCTCTGTGCTCAAAAGCTTTCTTCCCCCCCCCCTCTCTCTCTCTCCTCTCCTCTTCAATTTCAACTCTCTTTCTTCGACATTTTTGGACAATAAACTGAATTCACCATTCACCAGGCTTTTCATTGGTCCTTTTCCTGTTGTTACGTGTTTAGCCTTACATTTTCGACTAATGCACTCGTGGTCGAAATCTTACCTCGGAACGGACCGCTGCCGTATTGACGACAGCCGGGTAGCACAATGTAACGGCGAGGGTGATGATGACGATTATTCTCACATTGTGGTAGCTGGCTTTCGCGCGCGGACTCGACATTTCCTTTTGTACGTAGACACGAGACTCAGTGGGATGATCCAAAACTTGCTTCCCGAGCTTGTAACGCCTGCGGGATTGTATACGTAATTTTTTTTTCGTGGACGCGTTTGCCTTTGTCGTGGCGCGTCGCGACGAGTCGTCAATCTCCTCGATCCTTGATCCTCGATCTTCGATCCTCGATTCTCGTTCCTCGTTTCTTATTCCTCGTGCACGTTGCCTCGGCGTTGCGATTGCACGTTAGCAAATATTGCAGCGTTAGCGTGCACGTGCAGAGACACTACGAGTGGCGTGGGGTGGTGTGGGGCGACGTGGGCCGGCGCGAAACGGACTGTTTTCTTCGAGAGACACTGACAAAGTTCGCGGGAACGTTAACGTGACGGACGCCGCGACGTGAGGGAGCGACTCGAAAATCGTCGAATGTGAAACAAAAGGTCGGGGGATGCTCCTTTTCCACTCGAGATCTACCGGGGCGAGAATCGTCGACACGCGTGCACGCTCTCTTTCAGTGACCGAGTTACACGCGTACGTGGACCGTCCTCGGGACCTTACACATAGACTGTCTTCTCGTATGAGAATGAAAACGCTTTCGAGTCACTCGAGTTTATATAGGCTGGGCTAGCCGAGGCAGGAGGGGAGAAAGATTTAGGCAGAGAAACAAGGAGTGAGAGGAAGAGAGTGAAAAACGAAGAGAGAAGGCACGAGAGACCGAGACTACGACGAGAGGAAAGAAGAGGGGGAGACCACGCTTTGCAAGACGTTACGATAATAATAATAATAATAATAATAGTAGTAGTAGTAGTAGTAGTAGTAGTGGTAGTAGTAGTAGTAGTAGTAGTAGTAGTAGTAGTAGTAGTAGTAGTGGTAGTAGTAGTAATAGCAGTAGTAGTAGTAAATAATTAATAGTAACTACGAATGCGTGTAACAAGACACACGACAAGACTGCGCGATCTTTCGCTTTAGTTGATTCAATCCTCGCGATTAACGAGATCGATAGATCTCGTGGGTGCACGCGCGTGGAGCACGTGCCTCAGTGGCGAGGAGTTTCCTCTCGGCGCGCACGTGTCGACGATTCTCATTAGCCTGTTTACTGCATTCGTTTTCTACATTTCTCCATTCGAGACGGAGGATAAACTTGTCTTTATCTTTGCTTCGCGTATACTCGCGTTATATACTCATCCATTTCCCACATCGTGAATCATTCCATTTTCCAATAGCACGTTTTCAACCTGTTCGATCCTTTTGCCGCTTCGTCGAGTTGCTTTCGTCACCGCATTTTATCTGAAATCGTATTATCTAAAAATCTACAACGGATATGAAGAATACGAAACAATACAACTCTCCTTTATTAAACGTCGCGCTCGTTGGCTTCCATGTTAAAAATATTTAAAAATTGTTTCACTCGTGCGCCCGAGTTAGTTTTGATAGCGATAGACTATCATTGTAGTTCTTCACGTAGCGAAAGCATGCGCGTGTCATTCCTTTCATCCTTAATTTTTTACTTTTAACAAAAGGAAAATTCACACATCTCGTTGTGTAGTAACACATTCCACGCAAGCGAATAAATATTTCACCAATAAATCCATCAGCTAGAGAGAGTGAACGAGAAGAGTGGGAGGGAGGGAGAGGGAGATGGGGAGAGAGAGAGAGAGAGAGAGGGAGAGAGAGGTTAAAACATCTGCGTCGTCGAAGAAGCAGAGTCACGTCTTTTTCTAAAATGCGCGCCTTCTTTCGTTACGTCTGATGTAATATCACTTAGGAAACTGTCAGACAGCACGTATAACAAAACTTATAGACGAAAAATGTGAAAAGATCTGGAACAAACGATACATCGATACATTTTTTTAACGAGTTTTTTTAACGCAAATACGTATGTACATGTTCAGATATATACGTGTGTTTCGATGCTTAGATTTATAGCTTAAACGAAATTCAAGTAGCGAAGCGAGCTACTCTGTTTACGTGTATAAACAGTTTAAAGTTTTATGTTGGTGCGCACGAGCGAATAGCGATAAACTTGTGTAAAAATAGCTTGATGTAAAATAGAAGTGTAAAACGATTCGATCGTCCTTGTTGGAAAGTATCTCGATGATAGGAACATATTTTTTAGCGTGGCGATAAAAATTTCAGTTAAAATTTATCATGAGACGAGCGTCACATATCTTTATATATTATCTCTCATTTTTCATTAAAATCGCTTACATATCGGATGAAAATTACCCTTGAGAGGTCTCATGAAAATCTCACTTGAAGAGTCAGTCTCTCGAAATATGGGATTCTCTTATCATTTGATTACGTTGCCGCGATGGCTTACTCTTGTATAAATGAAATTTTCAAGTTTCATCTCTTTCCAGCAAGCCTTTTCGAAAGTCTCGAACGTTCCCACTTTGACATTGAAACAATCGTTCTCGTTATTCTGCCGTTATTGAGATATTTTTCAGTAGTAACGAACTCAAGCCTAGCTTGGTAAAGCACAAACAAATTTCATCATTGTTGACAATTTTCCCTATTCTTTTAATTTAACCAATCAACGTAGAGTATTCGTCATAGGTCGTGCTCTCGGACGTGCCATTTGAGCCGGGAATCGGGATCTAGATCTAGATTGAGATCGAGATCGAAATCGAGGAGCTCGAGGCGTTGGGCCGCGATCGCTACGATCCTCGGTCCTCGGTCCAGGCATCGATGCAGCGCTGTATTGGGCGCGATTGCCATTATTTGCCGTTTGCCTGAGAAAGGCCTGGAAAGGCCCCATATGCTTGTCCACGGAACGTTTTAGTCCCTCTCGGTTAGATTGATAACTTTACACGTGCACTCATTGTTAGACGTGAGTCGAAGAATGTAGAGGATAGAGGCTCGACGGAGGCCTGTCGATCTCTCGGCCAATGGCAACACGGCTCGTCGCTTACGTCAGAATCACCTCATAGCCGATGCAACGCTACGTGACTAACGTGACGCGACACATCTACCGGCATCGTGGATCCGCCACGGCACGCTACATGTAAATTTTCATCGATCATGTAGTAAATAATTTAGTAAATCATCCAATTTCGTCTACGCAAGCGACCGTACGCAGTTGCCAACTAATGAGTATAATAAATAATATAAATAATATGGCTTGGAGTAGCTTCGCGCGCGCGCGCGCGAGAGAGAGAGAGAGAGGGAGAGAAAAGGAAGGTGCTAAACGAGAGAAATGCTAATTAAGGGCCAAAGCACTTATCATGGCGATATACGACGGTCGTAGTTTGCTCCGACCTGACAGATCAGGATACGTCAAAGCTTGTGCGACATTGTGCGTACAATTTTTCGGCGTGAGCCAGTTTCTCGTCGGGAAGCACTTAGCGACGAATCATTTCTTCGTCTCGTGACATTCTTGCGATCGGAGCAAAGGAGTCAGCGAGAAGAATGTGGAAAGAGAGGCGTAACATCAGGCACGTGTTGCATGGCCTATGACCGCCCCGAGAACCGAATTGCGTCATCACGATTCCGGAAAGAAACTGTAAACTACGCAGTTTGTCAAGCGAGATCGCTCCCTCTTTCCTCTTTTTTTTATATTCCAATTCACTTTCACGGCCGATGTATGCTCGAAATAAAGAAACATCTTGTGAAGCGTTGCGCATGAGATAAAAGGGATATATTCCACGAAGTGTTTTGTAAAACGGCGCAATGCCCACGTCACGTATGTAATGTAGATATATGGTGTTCTCTTTTTTCCGCTTTCTTTCTCACAAAATGAGAATTATCGACTTTTTAAAAGCATCTCGTACGTTACAGAATTGTTAAGAATCGTGTTAAGAATTGAGAATTGGCTAAATAACTATAGCTAAGTGAGTATTAAAGATACATATATCTATGATTCTACTAATAAGCAATATTTTTGGAAAAACTTTGGAGATTACGTTTGACTCCGATACATATTGTCATTTGAGTCGAAATTTATCGATTCGATTCTTTGAAACATCAACTGAAATTCTGTGAAACATCAGTTAATTTTCCCGACCTTTTCGGTGACGGTATCTGTAAGTGTAAAACATCCATATATATCGGGATACAGTTGACTTTTCTTTCTGGTCAAATAGTCCCGCGTGATGGCGGGATACCTATATTATTCAAGTTATAAAATTTATGGAGTTAAAACGTCCTTATCGCACAATCCTTATTACGGGAGAGGACTTAATTAACCTCACGTATAACACGTAGTTTTTATTTCTTCCCTGTTATTTTTTCTCGCATCTTGAAGCTGCAATAATAACAAATTGAACAATTACTTTGATTGTTTGAGAAAAATGCTCGAGACGATTGGTTTTGTCAACATGGAGCGTGTCTATAATTTGGTTGGTATGCCACGTGGGGGGTGGGAAGAGAAAGAAGGATGATGTTCGCGTTCTCTCGATACGTGGCTACGTGATATTCCAAGAAGCAGATCAGAATCAAATGAGCTTCGAAAGACTTATGTGTAACGCAGAACGTCTTTTGGAAATTTTGATCGTTTAAATCTGGTCTACGTGTCCGTAGGTCAATTACGAAACGTCTCTGCTTCGCTCGCACCTGTGAATCTAGACGAATGATCGAATCTTTAACGTGAGCAATCCGTTATTGGAATTCAGATCAACGTGGCGCACGAATTCACGAATGTAATGTATCGTGTTTTTCCTAGTCACACCAGCGCAAATAAGTCGATCGTTTACGTAAGGACGCCCACGCTACACAACGATACGTTAGATAGCGCGCGACGGATGTGTAAATATACGAGGCTAGGCTACGCTAGGCTAGGCGAGGCGAGGCGAGGCGAGGCGAGGCGAGGCGTGACACGGCATAGTGTGGTGTGATGTGGTGCGGCAAGGCGGGGCGCGGAAAAGAATTATGACGAGACATGTATCCGTAAGCAAACGGAACGCACGCAGTTAGGCTCCGTCATAGCAGCCGTCGCATCTTTCTAGGAATTCTTTCAACTTGATCGTCAATCGCTGTCGATTATCATATAATTCTAATGACGCGTGTCATGTGTCATCTACAAGTATGAAGAAATTTCCTAAAGACCATTGAGATGGGGCGCGCGCGCGCGCGAGAGAGAGAGAGAGAGAGAGAGAGAGAGAGAGAGAGAGAGAGCTTTCTCATGCCACGAGCGAACGAGCCAATCGATGCGATCAGGTCAAAGAAGTTACGGGTTACGAGAGATGCGCGATATTACCACCGTCACTTTTAATCAGCGATCGACCAAGTACGTCAGTCGCGAGTGGCTACTGCACGGTAGATTGAATGAATCGAGTCGCACTCGACTAAATAAAAATCGGCATTTTCGATCGACGACGAAGCGAAAAAGTCGTCCGAATATCGTTTACTTGAAATAACGCCCAAGTTTGCTATCGTTGTAAAAGACGACGTAAAATCCATGCGCGACGCAAGATCGTCCAGCAAGTTGTTGCCAAGTTGCTACGCGTCGAATTTCTCGATACGATGCGCACGCGACGTTGTTACATCTCGAACAGCGTATTAAAAACTCGGAATCGCATTTTAAATCCAAGAATTTCAAAAGTTACCAATTTGTCGAAAGTCGGAATTTGGGCCGGTCTCACAGTCTCCGATTAAACT